GCATTGAGGTCATGGGCATTCTAGTGTGGGTTGCTGGACACTCATTCTCATCACCAGCAACTTTAAGCTCAGTTATCTGTTCATGATTCAAAGTTAAAATACTTGGAAATCAATTTGGCTGTTCAACTTTCATATATGGAAATCATTCAAAATTTTACAGCTTTTGAATTTCTGAGATCCTTTAAAAATTGCATGCCAAAGGTTCATAGCCTAATACAGCTAACCCAAGGCTCCACCTATTATAATTAGCTAAGCAATAAAGAGAACCTTCATGTAAACAGTCTGCCTTGCTGTTTGATGTCATCTCACAACATGAATGCAATAAAAACCCGCATATAAAAACCTAGCAACTTAAGAGCAGCTCCGCCTAAAAATCGACTAAACCAGGAAATAGCCAAAAAATGAAATTCCTTCAAACTCGCCCNATACCCAAAAGTATAAGAACCTGTTGTGCCTGGCAACGAAAGATAGGTTCTTATACAACTAAACCACTCCACTTTTGATGGTGTAAATTCCGGATTTTAATTGTGCGATAAACTTCTCACAAAAAGGTATTGGGTATATGATTTCTTTGATTTACATTTCTTTGGATTTTCACCAGAAATATGTTTTCCATAAAGCTACAGTGCGATATAGACAATTTAAAATATGTTATAAAACAAAATATAAAAATGTATTGATCTCCTTCCTGGACCTTGATTGTTATATCATCGGAGCCATGCAGTTAACAAACACCCAGTTTTGACCATGTGAAATTAAAAAAATGTATATATACAACCTCTGAAAAATAAGAACCTTTTCTCCTAATGAGCCTGAATTGTGAAAAACTATAGGACCTGTTCAGCCTGACCTTGAAAATTCTAGGTTGTTATAAGGGGGGTTTTACTATACAACATATACAGAGAAGTGAACCAACCTTTCATTTTCGTCTCAGTACAATTTCTTCTGTGCTGTGTAATTTTTTCCCCAATGCATCAATTTTGGCTCTTTTAGATTCTAGTTGCCTGTTGAGCTCACTTATTTGTGTATCTACCTGAAGTGATGCTTGAATAAGGGAATTTGCCCTTTCCTTCTTCAGCTTTTGGTACTTTCCAATAGCAAATCTTTCCTTCTTGTCACTAATGGTGGGCTAAAAGGGCCATGATTTATTTTTGCAGAGAGAAGACAAAAGC